GTACATTGTATGTTCTGTATAGGAGATCACTCTCTGTACATTGTATGTTCTGTATAGGAGATCGATCTCTTGTATGTTCTGTATTCGTATGTTCTTGTACTGTAGGAGATCACTCTCTGTACATTGTATGTTATGTATAGGAGATCGCTCTCTGTACATTGTATGTTCTGTATAGGAGATCGAGCTCTGTACATTGTATGTTTTGTATAGGAGATTGATCTCTGTACATTGTGTATGAGTTTTATGAGGTCTGCTATGAGTTCCCTGGACCTCTAACAAGTGTGGTAGATGGAGAACATTTCTTATAATCACTGTTATACTGTATGCAGGCTCCTGCCATTCTCTGAATTCACTTAGGATATCTTCACACTCACTACCTGACCTTCTCACACCTCTGTAGTAATGGAAGTAGAATTTTCTGACACTCTGGATCCACAGTGAGTGAATAAAAATATAAAGACTGAAAATGTTCACTCTTCAAAGTCTTCAAGCAATAGCTTAGCTGTTTAGAATAATTACTGTCCATCCACAAGTGACCGGTACGGGAGCCAAACAGCTCCAAACTTGAACAACCAGACATGACGTTCCTAATGAAGTCCTCATCCTGAGTCTCATACAGACAGAAGATGGTATGAGTATAGAAAGTCTCATTGATGTCCTTCATGGCCCATTTTTTCATTGCAGGTTTGGCTCGGAGTGAGATGTGGATGCCTGTGCTCTCTGAGAATGTCTTCACCGGATTTTCATTTAAGAGACCAAACAGGAATTGTACAGCTAATGCTAAATGTGGGTAATCTGAACTGAAGCCATAGAGTGATTCCCCTTTACAGATCTTGGGGAGGAAAGTGCCTTTCAGAAATCCCAACCAATCATCCAGCCCATAATACAAAGCAGCAAGGAACTCCTGTACACTCAGGTGGATGAAGCTGTAGCAGGTCTGGGTGCGGACATCCCAATGAAAGATGTTCTCATTCAAAAATACAGACTCCACCTCAGACAGAGAAAGTCCATGTCTTTCTAGATCTTTCTTCTCAAATAAGATTTGTTGGTTCAAAACTCCCTGATTGGCCAGAGCACACAGCTTCTTCAGACAGGTTTGTTTCCTGTGTACAGACTGGTCCTTCTTGCTGTGATGGGTTATTAGAACTTCCAGGTAGAGAAGGTAAATTGAAGTCATCGTATTACACCGAACTAAACCCAAATCTTTCTTTATTTCTTGTTTCATTACAGTGCAGACAATCCAGCATGTGATGGGGACGGCACACATTCTGTACAGAACTTCATTGTCTTTTATTATACTGAGAACCTTGTCTGCATCTTCTTTATTTCCAAAGAATTTATGGACATATTCCTCTCGATCTTCCCTTGTAAATCCCTGGATTTCCACATTGCGAGAATCATCAATGAATGTGTTAAGTTTCTCCATGGCCAGTGACCTCGTGGTGATGATCAGAGAAGATTGTGGAAGAACCTGTTTCCTGAGCAATCTTTGTAGAATTATTTCTTTGTGGGTTTCCATAGAAATGTCAACAGTAAGCTCAGATTTTTCCTCCAGAGTCCACCTCAGTTCATCAAACCCATCAACTATAGTGAGAAGTTTTCTCTGACTTCCAGGATCCTTCAGAATAGACAGAAGGTCATCTGAACTCGGCAGTCTGCACGCTCTGAATAAAAGTCCCACAAGGCTTATGTCTCCAGGGATGGTGTTGATTTCTCTACAGCTCAGATAAAATACAAAGTCAAACTTGTCTTGGTAGAGAATCCCAGAGGCCCAGTCCAGCATGATCTTCTTGGAGGTCATTGTTTTTCCAATCCCAGCAGGTCCTTGTAACACTACAATCTTAGGAATAAAACCATATTCATCAGGGTCAAAGAGGGCCTGGATTGTGGTTGGGGATGATCCATCAGAAGGTCTTTTCTCTATGCTCTGTAGATGTCTTCTGCCTGAACTCCTTATTTCTTGTTCTTTTTCCTCTTTATTCTGGGGTCCCTTTCTTATTATTAACTTGGTGTATCTTTTCTGAAGATAAGCAGCCTCCCCCATACGGGAATTATATTCTTTAATCCTCTGGAACGTCTCTTTCACAGACTCTTCGTATTCCTTTCTGAAGTCTTTATGAGAGAAAGGAAAATATTTTATTCCTCATACACACATGAAATAGTATTTATAAGACAGAGGTGGAAATATTGTATTCTAATCACAAACCCTAAGAATGTAAACTTAAAAGAAAATATCCCATGAAATACAGGAGGATTGTTGAAGAAGAAATAACATTCATACATCATCCAGACTAAAAGAAAACAAAATGTTCAGCCAAAGAACAGAAGAGATTTCACATCAAACGTTTATTTCCTCCTAACCTGTTATTATGTTGTCGTTTGTCATCTTCTTCAGTTTGTCTGGAAAAAAAATATATTTAAGTGGATTCACAGGACACAAGGCTCAGAACACCGAGCAACATTCATGAGGGCTTCTCTGGAATACAACCACATATATGAAGATTTTGTGAGATAGAAAAGTGGCTTCAGTTGTATTACACTGTCCAGGATGCTGAGTGACTCTGCGGACTCATTAGGAAATATTAAAAAAAGCAAGTTAGATGGAAATCAGGTTGCCTCTTACTGAACAAAGTCTCTGCAACATGTGTAAAGTGTACTTGTGGCCCAGCTGACCCTGGCCTCTGTGTTTTATGGGCCCCGGGGGCTTGGTTGGACTTCTGGAGACCTAATCTGAACCATGATTGTACAGCAGGGCCCTGTGTGAAGTGTGCTCCAGGCACATGGAGGTTGTTATGGATGTGTCCCTCCCCTCATTACTTTCACTGACATTGATAAGGATTGCAATAGGTACAGAGAAGCTTCCCCATTTGCACTGTCTGTAATGTAATCCCCATCAGACACCAATTGCCTACAATACACCCTCCCTTGTGACATGACAGGCCGGTGCATGGTTTGATTAATTTCTCTGCCAGGTAATGAAGGTTGGAACTGAACTCCTGGACATACATTGGGCATTAATCTTCTACATAGGTTACCTTGTGGATGATCCAGCTCTGACTGAATAGCTTCTCCTGGATGACATTCCTAGTTCTTCCACACACAGATGTTGATCAGGAATTGTTAGGAAATGGTCATTATAGATGGGAACTCACCATTTTGTGCTCTGCTTTCCTGTAGGTCATTCGCAGGTCCCATCAGACCAATCAGTGTAAAGACTTTAATGGCGACATCCAGAGCCCCTTCTTCTCCATATGTGTCTATCAGGAGCTCCTTGGTGGTGATCCAGTCTGCATTCTCTAGTCTTCCTCGGGGGATGGGACGTTTATCTTCATAGGAGAAATCAGACAATTTGTTCCTAAATTTCTTGAAATCACATCCTTTCTGATCCTCCAGAGAATATATGATAAGATCCCCGTGGTTTGTAGACCTTTTCCCAGGACACCAGGGGTTGACCCTGCAGAGAGGACAATCAGCAACCATAAGCATTCATCCTGTTTGGACAGCTTCTGACACATGAAGAAGATACTATAAAGAACATATAAAAGGGAAACATATCCCAATATGTCTATATGTACATTATCCTATCCAGGGGTTGGCTTTCTCATGAAAATCTCACATGACTGTGGGCCTATTTATAAAACATTAACCTTCAGGAATAATCCCCATAATGTGTCTAATAGGTTTTTTTCTTCTGACCATTGGCTCATTCTAATGCCCCTAATGTGGCATTTACCTGATTTCATTAAATAAGGAAACTATCAAATTACAGCCAGTGAATAAAGCTGGTTATCTTAGGAAATAATATTATTAGACACAATATTCAAAATGCCTGTGTGAATACGGACACAACAGCGAAAATCTTTTTTTTTTTTAATAGACCTCACTAGTGTATATGTATGGGTGACCATTTTTACATATTTTTAGTCATTGTTTCATAATAAACATGAAGAAACTTTATTTAGCGCTCACCCCCCAAGGGGCCACAGGTTCTCTTCTTAAATAGTACAGTGGCTGCCAGTCAAACAAGCACAATCCCAATCACACTGGCTATTAAAAGAGAAGTTCAGGTTTAAAAAAAAATAAACAATTATAATCACCTAGATAGATGCAGTACCAATGTAAGGCTGCAGCTGTCCCCCACTGCTTCTAAAGCAGGCCATAGACATTCAAATCTCAGCAGATTCAGCAGGGACCAGCCAAGATTCAAACCATGTATGGGTAGGATCAGGGGTGGACTGAAAACCCTTTGGGCCCCCAGGCAATAGGGAATCATGGGGCCCCTGTGTCCAAACTCAAAAAAGCCTATCAAAAGGGTACCAGGGCATCTCTTGGGGCCCCCTACTGACCCCGGGCCCGAGTTTCCAAATGGTCAGTCCACCCTGGGTAGACTGATCAATCAACTTGGGTACAACCAGGATGTTGGATTTTTCATGTGATTATTGCCATTGGCTATAGCCAATCTCTATGTGTTCTCCCGGCAGGAACAGCTCCCTGTGCCCTCTGGCAGGGAAAACACAAAGCTCCGCAGAAGATATTCCCCCATCAACAACTCTTTTTCCTACAACCTGTGGTTTGCAGGAAAGAAAATCACTCCATCTATGACTGGCTTAAGACTGAAAATTGAGTGATCAAAAACCGCTCATTGCTCAGTTCTCAGTCTTTACTTGAGCAGTGCTCTGCCACTTTAGCACTCACTAGAGGAGACAGGAGTGACTGGATCAGGTCTCAGAGGCTCACTGAGAGGCTGAGCTAATTGCTGTTCCCCACATCGGAGTAGATTTGGGCTGTAAAGTCTGGATCAGTGGGGTTTAGCCCTATTGGCTGGAAATGGGTCACAGAAGTGCAGAACCAAATACACTCCTGTGATCACCATGAGAAGTAAAACAAAAATAGTGTTTTTCTACTTCTCCTTTAAGGCTGAGTCTAGGGAATGTCTGTTTTGCATTTATTGATGAAGAACAGGAGAGGGATTTAGGATCACTGGATACACTAATAATCAACAGCAGCAACAGGAGGATGAACTTTTTGCTAGTCTCCCGAAAGCAGCTTCTCTGGAGGTAGCAGAGGATGGTCCATATATCTAAGGCCCCACAACTGCACACCATAGGGCAATCTCTAGCCACTGATTTTCTTCAGACTACGGAGACATAAGTTGTCATATCATCTAATTCCAATCTTTGGAGATGCAGGATGGAGGAAAACATTGGAAAGGATTGTTAGAAACAGCAGTCATACCTTGTATGGAGGAGGATGAGGAGGAAGAGGTCGCCATTACATCAGGAGATGATCTGAGATGACATCACCTGGAAGGAGCACAAACAATAATAAACTCATTTGTAGTGCAACGGATGGAATCAATAAGGAGGATTTTGTTCCCTGGATAATGATTGGCTGCCTGTTTGTCTAATCAAAGAAGATCAGAATTGGATGGATTTCTGACATTTACAATCCATAACTATGAGGGTCACTCAGTACCTTCCTCCTGGCATTCATCAGATTGGTATATCAGGGCCACAAAGAAAATGTACCCTGTTTAGGGCTACAATTTATACAGACACCTACTTTTAGGTGTCACTTCCACAAATCTGTGCCATTCATAGCCAAGACTGCTACTAATCAGCACCAAAGTTTCAGCAAGTAAGATGTCTACGGAAGGGACAGATGATAATACAGTTTTTGGGGTCACCTAGGGGAAGGGGGGTGAAGGGTTAAGGATTAGTTAGGGTTAGGGGGTGAAATATAAAGCTTCAATTTTTATTCAATCAGTTCAACATCTTCTAATACTCATCATTTTATTCTGAGTCCACGGGTTCATATGGACATCCATCCCTTCCAGTCTATATTATGTTCCTCCAATAACTTGCTGTAATTTGGGTACTTTAGGTGAGGGTGTGCTGGGACCTGCACTTCACCAAAGCTGAACATTTATTAAGGGTGCACAGAGAGGAATATCAATGTACAGATGCTGGGACTTGTAATCCCCCATGATATCAGTGGATGGATGCTGGGACTTGTAATCCCCCATGATATCAGTGGAGGGATTCTGGGACATGTAAACCCCATGATATCAGTGGAGGGATGTTGGGACATGTAGTTCCCATATGATACCAGTGGAGAGTAGCTGGGACTTGTAGTCCCCCCATGATATCAGTGGAGGAATGTTGGTATTATTATTATTATTATTATACAGTATTTATAAAGCGCCAATAGTTCGCTCAGCGCTGTACATTACAAAGGGGGACAGTACATGTGACAGAACAATAACAATACAATGTGATACACGAGGGTTTGAGGGCCCTGCTCCTTTGAGCTTACAATCTAGGAGGGAGGGGATAGTGGTATAGGAGGTGATAGCTGTGGGGGATGGAGTGGTAGGAAGAGTGGAGGAGGTCGGCAATTAGCAGGGGGTGGGGTAGGCTTCCCTGATGAGGTGGGTTTTCAGGGTGCGCCTAAATGAGAGGAGAGTAGGTGATAGTCTGATGGATTGGGGTAGGGAGTTCCAGAGGATGGGTGATGCCATGGAGAAATCCTGGAGGCAGGAATGGGAGGAGGAGACCAGGGAACTAGAGAGAAGGAGGTCTTGAGAGGAGCGGAGTGTGCGTGTTGGGTGGTACTTGGATATTAGGTCAGTGATGTAATTTGGGGCAGTATGGTGGGACGGCTTTGTATGTCAGTGATAGGATTTTGAATTTGATCCGTTGAGCAATCGGAAGCCAGTGGAGGGATTGGCAGAGGGGGGTGGCGGAAATGGAGTGGTTGGTAAGGTGGATGAGTCTGGCTGCCGTATTCAGGATGGACTGAAGCGGGGATAGCCTGTGGTGAGGGAGGCCAGTGAGGAGGGAGTTGCAGTAGTCGAGTCATGATATGATGAGGGAGTGGATGAGCTGTTTAGTGGTTTCTGGGGTTAGGAACGTGTGGATTTTGGCGATGTTGCGGAGGTGGAGTCTGCATGAGTTTGTTATTGATTGGACTTGGGGCTGAAAGGATAAGTTGAAGTCCAGAATGACACCAAGTACTCTGGCCTGCAGGGCGGGTTTGATATTGGCATTGTTGGACGTGTTGGAGAAATCAGTGGGGGGTGGTGTGTGGGCTGAGGGGAACATTAGGAGCTCAGTTTTGGAGAGGTTCAGTTTGAGGAAATGGAGCGACATCCAGTCTGATATGTCGCTCAGTAGGTGTGTGATTCGGGCGGAGACTGAGGTGGTGAGGTGGGGGGTTGAGAGATAGATTTGTGTGTCGTCAGCATAGAGGTGGTAGTTGAAGCCGTGAGAGTGTATGAGTTGGCCAAGGGAGGAGGTGTAGATGGAGAAGAGAAGGGGCCCGAGGACAGAGCCTTGAGGGACCCCAACAGAGAGGGGGAGTGAGGGGGAGGTGGTAGCATTATAGGTAACGCTGAAGGAGCGTTGTGATAGGTAGGACGAGAGCCAGGAGAGAGCGGAATCTCTGAGGCCGAGGGAGTGTAGTTTTTTGAGGAGGAGGGGGTGGTCGACTGTGTCGAAGGCCGCGGAGAGGTCGTGGAGTAGGAGCAATAAATAGTGGCCATTAGCTTCGGCGGTTAGTAGGTCATTGGAGAGCTTGAGTAAGGCAGTTTCGGTGGAGTGTAGGGGGACGGAAGCCGGACTGTAGGGGGTCGAGGACGTTGTTGTCGTTGCGGTGAGAGCTTAGGCGATTGTAGACTAGGCACTTGAGGAGTTTGGATGTGAATGGGAGCAGGGAGATGGGTCTGAGGTTGTTCGGGTCATTGGGGTCCAGGGAGGGCTTTTTAAGTATGGGAGTGATGTGTGCATGTTTCAGAGGGGAGGGGAAAGCACTGGAAGAGAGGGAGAGATTAAAGATGTGGGTGAGGGAGCATAGGATGGAGGGGGAGGGAGGTTGTAGGAGTTGAGAGGGGATAGGGTCGAGGGGGCAGGTGGTGAGGCGGGCATCAGAGAAGACCTTAGTGACCTCCTCGATGGTAGTAAGGCTGAAGGTGTGGAGTGTTGAGGGGGCTTCAGTGTTAGGAATGTTAGGTGGGGTGGAGGTCAGAGCAGTGGTGAGGCTGAAGGAGAGGGGTGATGAGGGGGTAGCTGTGTGAGAGGGGACGGGTTTGGAGGGAGTTTGAGCAGAGGCGATGTCCTTGCGAATTGTGTCAATCTTGTTTTTAAAGTGATTGGCAATCTCAAGGGCGGTGAGTGAGGTGCTGGGTGGGGGCGGAGAGAGTATTGGAGGAGAGGGTATTGATGAGGGTCAGGAAGTAGGCTTGTTTGGCAGCATGGAGGTGTAAGATGGGAAAAAGCTCTCATTGTTTGAATACTGTGTGAAGTAAATTAGAGAATGTCTTGACTGACGTTATGCAGTTTGGCCACAAGATGTCCCTGTTTCTAACACAGCTTCAGGCTGCATAGCTATTTCTATATTCAATAAGGGGTGGGGTTTTCTGAAGGAGAAGTGAACAGGAAGAAAGACTGGAGCCATGTTTTTGATGATGGTGAAGGAAAAGAGACATGTGAGGAGAGAATCCGTTGGCTTCCATGTGTGAGAACTGCAGCTAAGTGAAGCTGATGGTGTTCAAGACGCTGATCCTGTTCAGAGAAAGGAAGATCGCTGCCAGGAAGGCTGATGACATTGCATGCTTGTGAGAGAGAGACATTTGTTCTGTTCAGAGTCACCATCTGCTGCAATACAGACCCGGGTCGGTAAGATCGTGCACGCACCTCATTTCAGTGTTGGTGCCTATAGATTGAGTCCAGGCCTATAGTTAGTTAGTTAGGGTCTCTGTGTCAGGCCACAAGTGTTATTACTGATCATTGGAAGGACTCCATAACTTAAAGTGACATTTCACATTGGAGAGCTGATAAAATCCCACAAACTCAAGCCAGACTGGCGGTTTTCTCAGAAGGAATACTCAGGGACGTGCTACAGGACCAGTTATGGGAGAGGGAATACTGTAGATTTGTGTAAGATTGTAAGCTGTTGTGCTGCACCGCAGGCTAGCCCATACCGTACACCCATACACTGATTCCTGCTCTGTAGGGTAATAACAGGTAAGGTGTGGGCAGCTTAGTTGTGCCCCCAGTAGGTAAATTACTTCACTTTCTACCTTCATCCATCAGAAGGCGCTGTGTGCTGTGCAGCACAAGGGTCTCAGCCTTTGGGCTGGGTGTATGTAAATTTATTGTATGTTCCCAGCATTTGTGGTTGTGTTTATTTGCCACATCTAAGTAAAATTCTGTTGTGGCAAAAGCTGGTGTTGGGATTACTTTCCTCGTTCGTGACTTCACTGTATCCTGGGGAGCCCACCCCGGTACACGGCTTACAGAGGGAGGAGGTGTAGGTGTGGAAGGCAGATTTATAGCGGGTGAAGGCTAGTACTTGTAGTTCCCCCAAAATAGCAGTGTAGGAATGCTGAGACTAGTAGTTCCCCCATAATATCAGTGGTGGAATGCTGGGAATTGTAGTTTATCCACAATATTAGTGGCGGGATACTGGGATTTGTACTTCCCCTATAATTATCAGTGGAGAGATGTTGGGACTTGCAGTTCTTCTATGGTATCTATTGTACCTGGAATATGAGTACAAGCAGGATGGAAGGTTTTGTGCCGTGCAGTGTGCTGCATGTAGGGAGCAATGGAGCAACAGCTTCAGGATGGATACCGCTGCAACAGATGTGAGTGGGTTGCCCTTCTGGAATCTCGCATTAGAGATCTGAAGGGGCAAGTTCCAACACTGGGCAGAACTGACAACCTTGAAAGGGGTCTTCTGCTCTCTGAGTGGGTAGCTAATGGGATTGATGTGGAGTGCGGAGGGGCTAATCAGGATTATCAGGTAGGAAGATGGGTTACTGTAATGAGAGGGAGTGGTAGGGGCTCACAGAAAAGGAAGGCTGGCCCTGGGTTTGTGCACCCAAACAGATTTGCCAAGTTGGGTGAAGATGTGGGGGTTGCAAGCTCATTGGTGGCAGCCCTGGGTGTCACTGCTATCCCTAACAACCGGGAGGACAGACCATCTGGGAGGGGACAGCATGTAGGCCCTTTACAAAATAATCTAGAGTGGATGACTGGAAACAAAGAGAAGGCCAATGTATGAAATCCCTTCTCCAGCTCTGTGTATACAAAGGAGCATGGGGGGGCTCTTGTCCATAATGGGCGTGGTACTGACACCCCCCAGATGATCCACATTGGCTCACAATTGATATGATCCAGAAATATTTAGACAGAATAAAGGTGAATAAAGCCCCTGGACCGGATGGCAGACACCCACGGGGCCTTAAAGAATTCAGCTCTGTCATCTCACAGCCATTGTTTCTCATTTTTTAGGGCCTCTTTAATGACTGGCATAGTACCACTGGATTGGTGTAAGGCCAATGTGGGGCCAATATTTATAAAGGGGACAAAATATTTCCCAAGTAATTATAGAGCTGTTAGTGGAACTTCTATAATTGGGAAGATACTGGAGAGTTTAATAAAAGACCACAGAGAGGAGTTCTTACTGGAAAAAAATATTTTAGGCAACAGACAGCATGGATTCATGAAAGACAGAAGTTGTCAGACAAATCTGATTTCTTTTTATGAGGAGGTGAGCAAAACCTTGGACAGAGGGGTGGCTGTGGACATGATGTACTTGGACAGAGGGGTGGCTGTGGACGTGGTATACTTGGACAGAGGGGTGGCGGTGGACGTGGTATACTTGGACAGAGGGGTGGTGGTGGACTTAGTATACTGGACAGAGGGATGGTGGTGGACGTGGTATACTTGGACAGAGGGGTGGCTGTGGACGTGGTATTCTTGGACAGAGGGGTGGCGGTGGACGTGGTATACTTGGACAGAGGGGTGGTGGTGGACTTAGTATACTGGACAGTGGGATGGTGGGTGGCGGACGTGGTATACTTGGACAGAGGGGTGGTGGTGGACGTGGTATACTTGGACAGAGGGGTGGCGGTTGACGTGGTATACTTGGACAGAGGGGTGGCGGTGGACGTGGTATACTTGGACAGAGGGGTTGCTTTGGATGTAGTATACTTGGACAAAGGGGTGACTGTGGACGTGGTATAGTTGGACAGAGGGGCGGCAGTAGATGTGGTATACTTGGACAGAGGGGTGGCGGTGGACGTGGTATACTTGGACAGAGGGGTGGTGTGGACGTGGTATACTTGGACAGAGGGGTGGCGGTGGACATGGTATACTTGGACAGAGGGATGGTGGTGGACGTGGTATACTTGGACAGAGGGGTGGCGGTGGATGTGGTATACTTGGACAGAGGGGTGGCGGTGGACATAGTATACTTGGACAGAGGGGGTTGCTTTGGATGTAGTATACTTGGACAAAGGGGTGACTGTGGACGTGGTATACTTGGACAGAGGGGTGGCAGTAGACGTGGTATACTTGGACAGAGGGGTGGCGGTGGACGTGGTATACTTGGACAGAGGGGTGGCAGTAGACGTGGTATACTTGGACAGAGGGGTGGCAGTGGACATGGTATACTTGGACAGAGGGGTGGCAGTGGACGTGGTATAGTTGGACAGAGGGTGGCGGTGGACGTGGTATACTTGGACAGAGGGGTGGACGTGGTATACTTGGACACAGTTCCCCACACACGGCTAATGTGTAAGGTAAAGTCTACAGGCTGAAACAATCCGAATGTAAATGGATAGAAAACTGGCTAAAAGATTCAAAGAGTAGTAGTTAATGATTCATACTCTGAGGTGGTCTGGGGGTGTCAGTGGGGTACCCCAAGGTTCAGTGTTATTAGTGGGGTACCCCAAGGTTTAGTGTTATTAGTGGGGTACCCCAGGGTTCAGTGTTATTAGTGGTGTACCCCAGGGTTCAGTGTTATTAGTGGGGTACCCCAAGGTTCAGTGTTATTAGTGGTGTACCCCAAGGTTCAGTGTTATTAGTGGTGTACCCCAGGGTTCAGTGTTATTAGTGGGGTACCCCAAGGTTTAGTGTTATTAGTGGGGTACCCCAAGGTTCAGTGTTATTAGTGGTGTACCCCAGGGTTCAGTGTTATTAGTGGGGTACCCCAAGGTTCAGTGTTATTAGTGAGGTACCCCAGGGTTCAGTGTTATTAGTGGGGTACCCCATGAATCAGTGTGATTAGTGGGGTACCCCAAAGCTCAGTGTTATTAGTGGGGTACCCCAAAGATCAGTGTTATTAGTGGGGTACCCCAAGGTTCAGTGTTATTAGTGGGGTACCCCAAGGTTCAGTGTTATTAGTGGTGTACCCCAAAGATCAGTGTTATTAGTGGGGTACCCCAAGGTCAGTGTTATTAGTGGGGTACCCCAGGGTTCAGCGTTATTAGTGGGGTACCCCAAGGTTCAGTGTTATTAGTGGGGTACCCCAAGGTTCAGTTTAGTGTTATTAGTGGGGTACCCCAGGGTTCAGTGTTATTAGTGGGGTACCCCAGGGTTCAGTGTTATTAGTGGGGTACCCCAAGGTTTAGTGTTATTAGTGGGGTACCCCAAGGTTCAGTGTTATTAGTGGGGTACCCCAGGGTTCAGTGTTATTAGTGGTGTACCCCAAGGTTCAGTGTTATTAGTGGTGTACCCCAAGGCTCAGTGTTATTAGTGGTGTACCCCAAGGTTCAGTGTTATTAGTGGTGTACCCCAGGGTTCAGTGTTATTAGTGGTGTACCCCAAGGTTCAGTGTTATTAGTGGGGTACCCCAGGGTTCAGTGTTATTAGTGGGGTACCCCAGGGTTCAGTGTTGGGACCCCTACTTATTAATATATATATAAACAATATGGGGTGTGAGATTATAAACCCCATTCCAGTCTTTGCAGATGACACCAAGCTGTCCGGGGAATAACGTCCTTACAGGATGTCTCCAACTTACAAGCCGACCTCAATGCTCTGTGTAATTGGGGGACTATGGGGCCAATGAGGGCTAATGGTGATAAATGTAAGGCTCTGCACTTGGGGGGGGGCTAAGAATACACATGCATCATACATACTAGGGGGGTACAACTGGGGGGTCAATGGTGGAGAAGGATCTGGGGGGTCAATGGTGGAGAAGGATCTGGAGGGGTCAATGGTGGAGAAGGATCTGAGGGTTCTAGTAGATCACAAGCTTAATAATGGCAGCAATGCCAAACTGCGGGTTCTAAAGCGAGCAAAATCCTCTCTAGTATTAGGAGAGTTATAGAGAGTCCAGAGAGAGATATCATATTACATACACAGAATATAACTGGATATAACATTTATAGGGAAAGTTGATCCAGGGAATATCTGATTGCCTCTCGGGGGGTCAGGAAGGAATTTTTTCCCTGCAGGAGCAGATTGGATCGTGCTTTGCTGGGTTTTTTTTAGTGTAGGATGTTGTACACAGGGATATATGGAATGATACAGATTATCTTTCCCTCTATATAGTACACACTATCCATTTATACACTATATGGAGCTACACAATATACAGACTTCTGGTCTGTGATATCAATGGAGAGATCCTTGGACTTGTATATACCTATGATATCAGTGGAGGGGTGCTGGAAACTGTTAGTCCTCATGATATCATTGGAAGAATGCTGGGATTTGTAGTCCCCTCATGATATCAGTAGAGGGATGTTATACACAGGGATATATAGAATAATACAGCAGAAATACCTGGAAACACGGCACTGGGAGCTCCACCTTCTTCATACTGTATGAAGATCGATATTCATGTGTGAACAAAGAGTTGGTCTGCACTTCACTCCCAATGATGTCTGATGATGGAGGAAGAAAGAGAGGAGGAGGTGGAGGGGGATTTCTCATTACTTCCTCTATCAGAGCCGGCTCTGCCTTCCATCACTTCTTACACAACTCATCGTTGGTGGCATCCAACTTCCTCTTTGTATACGGAGAGCAGAACACGTGTTCTAAAGCTGACCATACACTGGTATTTTGTTCAGATTTCTCCTTCCACCACACACACACAACAAGGGATGGAGGAATCCCTCCCGCTGGGAATACACTGATTGGTGGCCTGCAGCTGCTGATTGTCAAAAGATTTCCATCATGTCAACAGTCAATGTTTGTTGAGAGGGAATAGGCACACGCTGAGCAGAATGTATATTATTATTATAATATAGGATTTATATGACGCCAACAGTTTGCTCAGCACTTTACAACATGAGGGCAGACAGTACAGTCACAATACAATACAGGAGGAATCAGAGGGCCCTGCTTGTCAGAGCTTACAATCCAAGGGGGGTCAGGTAAATATTGTGGGGGGATGGGGTGATGGAGAAAATAAAAGTACAGATATTAGGTGGGGACAGGATAGGCTTCTCTGGAGAGAAGGATTTTCAGCAATTGCCTAAAAGTGGGCAAGAGTAGGAGATAGACAGATTGGAGTAGGGAGTTCCAATGGATGGGAGAGACTCAGGAAAAGTCCTGGAGGCGAGCAAGGGAGGAGGTGACAAGGGATCTAGAGAAGCAGGATGTGTTGGGAGGAGTGAAGAGAACAATTTGGTTGGTATTTTGAGACCAGGTTAGTGATGTCACTGAGGCCAGATGGTGGATGGCTTTGTAAGTTAGTATTTTGAATTGAATTTGTTGGATAAGTGGCAGCCAATGAAGGGATTGGCAGAGAGGAGTTGGGTTGGTCCCTGGTGAATCAGCCACATTTCAATCAGTGTATGGTCATCATAACTCGAATGCTGGTTGTATGAGTAGGATGATGAATAACGTCCTCCCAGGAGGAGAGACTGTAATGGAACCGACCCCGAATGCACTGGGTACTTCTGTTAGAATACCGCTTCCCCATCCGAACACCGACCACAGACCCCACAGCCGACCATACAAGACTAGATGACACCAGTCTGTCTAAACATGGAACTCTTTATTTGGAAACTCAAACTGGCTTTTTTTATACACTCAGGGGACAGTCCCCCCTCCCTGCATAATGACGCAGGGGAGGGGCAATCTATACTTAGCAACAAGAGACACACAGGTATTCAAAACTTCACACCAGCAGACAGTCCCATCAGGAGGGAGGGCTGCTGGAGACACCCCACTAAACTAATACACATAAACACATACATGTCATAATAGTTTGCTCCCAAGCCAGACAAACAATAGAACGATGGGATGCAGCCCCATAACACCAAAACAATCCACAACCCCCACCACACGGTGGTGCCTATACATGTCTACACAATATTAGGACAGATCACCCTGTACCCCTAACAGGCACAGAGTGACTTACACATAAGAGGATTATGGGGAGCTGAGATGGGTCTCCCCACCTCTCCGAATGTGAGCTGGGTTCATGGGCCCCCCACCAAAGTGACTCAGAGACCATTCCAAATCATCCTAGAAGACTTCCATTCAATGTTAATCTGCAGCTTCTAAAGCCGGCTATGGGGAGGAGATCAAAGTACGGATTGAACTCTGCCTGTTCTGTCATTGGCCTTTCCTGAGAGATTACTGATGTGTGGGTGGAGGGGATTGAAGGATGGAAGACGTCAACCAAACCAGCAACTATCAGCACAAGGGATGCATCCCATTGAAGAAAGATTTGACTAAACATAGGCTTTTAAATTGCCAAATGAATGACAGTTACAGGCAGCTTTGTTTTCTAAATGTCGCTGAGGGCAGAAATATAATTTTTTGGTTGAAATCAGCCACCCCTGACAGTGTGTGTAAAGCTGTGTCATCTTATCTGCTTATCTATGAGTTTCCCGTTCCCCGCATTGGATAGATGAGGCTGATCTCAGTGGGTAGTTCAGACAGCATTGTATCTGTATCTGGATAAAGCCAGGCTCCTCAGGACCGGTCATTTGGTGCTCAGGTCTTGGCTGAACTCAAAGTACTGTTGGTTATGTGTTATAGAAGACACTGGTAGTGATAGCAGAATTCAGGCTTTACTTGTGTGGCTTAAGTTACAAACATACAGAGCACATTTCAGCAGACTGTATAACAGCAGACATGTTACAGACTCATTACTTCCTGAAGAGATGATAGAGAGAAAGAAAGAACAGCAAGTTTTACACATACACAACTAGTAACCTTTAGTGTATAGTGCCATCTACTGGTCAAGTGATATTACCACAGAATACTGTATATAGTACATTATAGTACATGCTGTTGCATTCCCAACACCCCTTCTCAACGGCATGTGCATAATTATATGGACATTTAGTCTCTTTTGTAGAAAACAATGACGTTCCCTTGGCAAAGGTTTGGTGGTGAGTGCGTCTGCAGTCATCTCCTCTGATGGGCAGTACTGGATGTCGATAACCCCTTGTTCTTGCATGTCTCTGAGCAGATGATATCTTACATCAATGTGATTGGTTCTTGGGTTAATCTTCTCAGAGTGTGTAAGGTTTTATGCATCCCTGATTGTCTTCAAAGATGGGTGTGGGTTGTGACATATTCAGTCCCATGTCTAGTAGAAGTTGACGAATCCAAATGGCTTCTTGACATGCATGTGCTGCTGCTATGTATTCCCCTTCAGTTGAAGAGAGTGCAACAGTCACTTGTTTCCTTCTGTATCATATTTCAC